GTCTTCACAACTTTACGGGTGCACTACGGGTGCAGAATACGGGTGCAACGGGTGCATAAAGTGCCCTTTTTGCGTGAAAAATTTTCATTAAAAATTGCATTTTTTGCGCAAAGGGCATTTTTGAAAAATTCAATCTATGTTATTTCCGGAAAAATGTTTTAATTTCCGGAAAAAATAACATTTTCCGGAAAAATTTTCGGTATGTCCGGAAAATTTTTTTGTATTTAGGAAAAATTGTGGTATGTCCGGAAAATTTTTTTTACCCCTAAAATGGTACAAACTTCAGCGCAATTGCCTTTCAAAGTTTTATTACGTATTTTTGCACAGTGCCGTTCAATCTTCTGATTTTTAAAGGGCTGTGCCTAAATTTAAGGGATAATAAATTGTCGAAATACTAACACTACTATATACAGTAGAATAATTACAGTATTAAATAATATTATACAGTACATAAAAATATTACTCGACTGTGATTGGTTGATTTCAGTGCAGTTAATCTCAAACAGCAACGTAAAATTCTGTAAGAAACTGATTTGACTAGTGGAAAAACAGTGAAATCTAAAACCTCCATACAGTGGCAGTCTTCAAGTAACGGTCAGAGATTTATTCAAAACAAAACAAATAGAGCGGTTAGAATAATGTGATATAAAAAAGCAGGAAAATTTACCACTCACTAGTATGATCAGAGAGGGGATGTTTATGCAGATAAACAGTAAATCTAGATTAATTGTTGAAGGATTTGCACATGGAAATTTCGTGTGGAATTTTTATACATTTATTAGGCAGGAATCGAGTCTGCAATTCCGGTGCAGCGCTCTAACCAACTGAGCTACACGGTCCAGTAAACGAGCTCTAACCACAAGTACTTCACCCATTATATACTGTATACATTATATACTGTATACATGAACTTGTGACTAGACCTCGACAACTCTCTCTCTGTAGCTCAGTTGGTTCACAGTTAATAGAATACATGGTTTCGAGACTCGATGAAAGTACAATTATATAACTCATTAACTACAGTACGTATGTTGGTTTTGTTTTATACAAGAGTTTGGGCCTATCTCGTCACGTGTGTATTGTATTTTTTTCCCGCACAACCAATAGCAATGTTTAAATTGAGCATTTGTTCGAGTTACGGATGGATAACTCAACCACAAACTTGTTATAATTGCTTATTTGAGCGAAAATACAATACACACGTGACGAGATACAGTAGGACCAAATTCTTGCATAAAGCTGGACAATAACATACTGTAGTTAATGAGTTATATTGTACTTTCATCGAGTTTCCAAACCATCTATTAAAATAACGGTGGTTGCAGGTTAGAGCGCTGCACCGGAATTGCAGGGCCGCAGTAATATGGTATTCCCTCTGGCTGGCTCTGTAAAACTACATTACATTGATTTTAGGATAACCGTGAAAATGTCGGCGTTGGTTTACGTCGTCCGTATCTGCGTGTGGTAGGCATCCAAGTGGACACGGATGGCCCAGGAAGAAGTAATCCTAACGCTGTAAATATGCAAGAAGAAGAAGAGTTCAGACGTGTTTCTGCAAGACCTGATGTTTATGACGTGATTGCAAGAAGTATTGCACCGTCTATTTATGGCAGTGAGAATATCAAGAAAGCCATTGCTTGTCTGCTCTTTGGAGGATCCAGGAAAAGGTATGAGGAAATGACGCTTTGTATATTTTTCTTCATCCAAGTGTCTGGATATGTTGAGGTTACCGGATACGTTATAGGCACACGTTTCAGGAGATCTACCGTTACTTGGAGATTTTTTATCCAATTTCTACCATATTTTTGCTGAATGTAGCCAGATAGATGAAGGGTAGCATAATGTTATAAAATATACAGTACGAGAATAAAAATATTCCTGAATATTGTTACTGTACACGTTTAAGTTTGGTGTACCTTCGCGGCGCCATCCACGTTAAACGCTGGTTTCACTAAAAACCTCTCAAACTATCTTATCGAGGATTGTTCTAAAAAAGCGTGCATTCTATTGTTGATTTAGGAGTTACAGTATTTGCTAAGACACATTCTTTCCCGACTTGTGTTATATTGCAACCAATGCACAACAAAGGCTTGTAACTCTGCATATGGTTTTTACTGTCAAATCTGAGACCTGAGATGCTTGGTTTGCAAACGATTCAAAAAAGTAACGGCGTTTGCATTCACACGAAGCCGACAAGCGCTCCGTTTTCATCTCGCTCCATATAGAAATCGTGCTCAAATCATTCCAGCAAAAAGTGGCGTTTTCAAACAATTTTACTCCGGCGTAGTATGAACGTAGTCTAGTATTAAATCTACATGCATTTGTTCTTAGGTTGCCAGATGGTCTAACAAGAAGAGGGGATATCAACCTACTCTTGCTTGGTGACCCGGGAACTGCCAAGAGTCAGTTGCTCAAGTTTGTAGAGAAGGTCTCTCCTATAGGGGTCTACACCTCTGGCAAGGGGAGTAGTGCCGCTGGATTAACAGCATCAGTGATACGTGACCCTGTGTCTAGGAATTTCATCATGGAAGGTGGAGCTATGGTCTTGGCCGATGGTGGAGTTGTTTGTATTGATGAATTTGATAAGGTACAATACCGCTTGCGTAATGTACAAAATTAGTTGCTCACGTAGTGAGATCATAATGAAAATCCATTGCCGTTAATGGGCTGATATATACCTTAATTATTTTGTACAATGTTTTAGATGAGACAAGATGACAGAGTTGCCATTCACGAAGCGATGGAGCAACAGACTATTTCAATTGCTAAGGTATATATATAGTTCAGTTTGGTTCGGCGACTATCCATTTCTATAACCTTGTCAAGGTAACCATATTTTAATTCAATAGATTAATTCGTAATTTTCATGTCAATAAATAAATAATTAATAAGAGAATCATAATCAATTCCAAACAGCAGCGCTGGATGATCCACACTACAATCTTACTGGGCAAGCTAAAAACGATGCTGAGATCTTTGGTTTGCTAGTCCCATGCATTACCAACTTCAGTTGGTAGAGTATGCATTTGACTAGCAAAGCAATGATCGCGGGTTCGGTTCCCACTTCAGTCAAGCGAAGTTTTCAGCTTGCCCGATTTGGACACACTGAGGGACCTAAGTACATACGCCACAACCATTACTCTTGCTGCATCAGACCATCTATCAGATCCACACGGGGCATAAAATAGCAGCTAACTTAAGTCTGAGCCAACATTGTATACTGCATGTACTCTTGAGTTAGCCTGCGAACAGGCTCTCAAGCTGAATTGAGAGCCTGCATCGATGACTAATGAATTTGAATATCTGCGTCTCAAATCGTGACGCGAAATTCTCATTGGTCAGATGCTATAATTTATATGTTTCCGCTGAGCTCTATATATGTCAACTGCCGAAGCACTATGCATAAAAAACACATTAACTGATCAAATTGGTCTTGGCCGTCTTATCTCAAAGCACGAAATGTTCTGTTTTGAGAAAACAGTGTTTAAAACATTTGAACTTTTGCTTGAATATCTTATATTTCGAAAAACAGTATAAACTGTACGATCTAAATTTAGTTTGCACGAAAGTTGTAAACAACACCATATAAGGATAGACATTCCATATTTGGAAAAACGAACGTTACGGGGCAGATATTCAAATTCATTAGTCATCGATGCAGGCTCTCAATTCAGCTTGAGAGCCTGTTCGCAGGCTACTCTTGAGTAGATACCTTTAGCATGTCGACAATTTTGTTTCATGGAACAATAAGTGTAATATTATACTGTATGTCACTGTGATTAAAAGGTTAATATTTTTAGGCTGGTATTACGACGACATTAAACACAAGATGTTCAGTTCTTGCTGCTGCAAACTCTGTTTTTGGAAGATGGGATGAAACTAAGGGTGAAGAGGTAAGAAACATATTTTCATCATTACAAAGGGCAAACGTTTTTTCGAAGCTGTTATTTGTCCGGTGGCGGACACCAAGGAGCTTTGGCTATGTGTTCGTGAATTAGTTTGATTGTTCATTTTGCATGGCCAGCGGGTGTTTCACAAAAATAACTCCCCCCCCCCCCACCCCCCTAGGTCACCTGCTCTCAGGTCACGTAACCTTCGTGGAGTTCCTTCAGGGATTCCGTCTAGTGCTTTAACCACTCTAATGGCGAAGACTTGCTTGAAATTTAATGCCATTTCCTTGATGTCGTCTTAGCTTGCTGACAGAACGAAGAAAATACGATCCAAATACGAACAAATAACCGCTTTCCTTTATTTTGTTGTAGTGATAACCATTCTTAAACCATGTTCATATTTAGAAGTTTTTTGGTGAGAAAGCATACAATAAAATACAATACAATATAATTGTCCACAACAAGAAAACGCCCTAAATATGAATCGATCTGCAAACAAGTTGCAAGAAGTTTGTTGTCAAGCCGATATCAGGATGTGTTCGCACTTTTTGTTTCCAGTTTTGAAAAGTCTGGAAAAGGTTGATAACGGTAACAGACTTGCTACAAGTTGTTCCAACAAGA